TCAAAAAAGGTCCACATTTTCGGAGAAACCCATCCACGCATACACACATTTCAGTTCGAACGAAAGCAGCAAAAGGAATTAGATGAGGATTACAAAAAAGAAAAAAGGAAGTAGTAGAGAGGAACTAAAACAAACCTCCTCCTTTGTGAAGTACCATTTGTGAATACTGCCTTGTGTTCCTTCTGAAGAGCTGCTACCAGGAAGTGAACACATTGGATCTTCGAATCCGAACTAAACGAGAAAATGTTGAGCATCATCTGCGGGTATTCCTGCTGACGCACAGTTAGAATATCGAGAGCAAGCGCAAAAACATGTGAACGAAATATATAGATTTGGCAAGATAGAAATGTCTTAGGAAATTCTTGATCCCATACCTCATCTACCACCTTCAAAATTAATGAACTAAACATCTCCACTATAAGTATACTTTCAGAATCTTTGGTAAAATTTACGTCAGTTGAGCATTTTCCACCTGATCACGCAAAATTTAGACATTGAGCCAAGAAAATTTTGATTACTTGCCATACCAGATATTGTCTTACTTTGTTGACGACAATTTGGTGAATCTACATTTACAACTATAACATAACAACAAATAGACGTGAGCAATCGGTTTTCCGTAATCTACGATCCGTTTTAAACTTGCAGAACTTTCGCTAAAGTATTAAATTCATCAACACTTGCAGTGGCAGGAAACATAAGTTAGAAGCACGGCAAAAACAAAAGAAAAACACGGGTAACACTAACATCTGAGGCCCAAAAATTACAAGTCACGTATTAAGAATTCTATCGAAACGGCGGATGGCAGAGGACTTTCAAGCGCAAACCTGCATGAATCGCTAAGACGGTATGTTAGTGTGCATACCTGGATCATACACCGAGCTTGGGTGATCGGAATGATAGTAATCGCGGCACCCAAGCGCCTTACTAACGTGCACCACTAGGGTGCGTCAGGTATGGGGGATTTCAGCACTGAAAAGTCTTGGAACAGTGAGCACCATGAACTTTCTCAAATTTTCCCAGAGCACAGGGGAGACCATGAAAACCGCCTACTGTCCTTGATCGGATGGGCTTAATCAGAAACGTATTCAAATGTTGATTTCTTAACATCTGCTGGTGATGTGGACNGATTTCAGCACTGAAAAGTCTTGGAACAGTGAGCACCATGAACTTTCTCAAATTTTCCTAGAGTACAGGGGAGACCGTGAAAACCGCCCACTGTCCTTGATCGGATGGGCTTAATCAGAAACGTATTCAAATGTTGATTTCTTAACATCTGCTGGTGATGTGGACTTAAGACTGCGCAGCTGTTTATTCCGTAGCAGCGCAGTTTATATGCCATTAACGGGTGCTCGCTTTTTAACGACAAAAAAACACCACCCGGTCACGGAATGAGCCGAATCACGAACTGACTGCTAATAAATTCCAACGACATGTCAGTTTAGAAGAAAATAAGCAGATCATTCATGAGGCGACCGATACGATTTTTTTTCGTTGCTGTCTGTGGAGGGAATTTTAGACACAGGGGACATAATTATAATCCTCGGAAATTGGGCACACCCTTGAGAGTGAGGGCTCGGGAGCCACTAGAAAGCCAGTCTCAACACAATTCTTAGTACTGACATCTGCTCCCTTGTTGACCCTGGAATGACCACACTTGGCATATAGCTACCAAACCAATTTTTTTTTCTAAAAAATACAGTGTTCGCATTCTTACTACCAAAATTACTTCATCATAAAATCCCTCAAAACTTTACACAGCGCAAATAATGGCAACTTACAAGTTGCTGCCATGAACCCTAGCCCTATCTGTACGGTGAGATAACTAACGGATCAATATTAGTGATAAAGTTAAGCCATTAATGGTCAGTTAAGCCATTTCTATTCAAAATAGTTGATTTATAGAGTTTCCAAGCCATTTATTGTTGCGCACGCTTTCAGGTGGATTGGAAAAGTATGACTGGGGCGAATCCGATTATTTTCTCGTTGGTTAAACTTGCATACGACGAGACACAGAACACCCTTTAGTTAAAACGCTCGGCACGATTTGAGCTGTTGGACTAAACTGGCCGCATTCATACTAGGTGCGGTAGACGGCGG